AACGACTCAATGGCACATAACAACAACAAAAACAAAGATTTTTTGCTCTAGAAACCTAAGCCCTTTCTCTTGTATGTTGTCATTTTTACTCTTACTTAATAATTATATAATCTGCATGGTGCTTGTGACTTACATAGTGATACCCTTGTTTCTGTAGCATTATAATTTTTTGATTGGCAAAATATCCCTCATAAACAATAACAGGTTCATTTATTGGGCAGGTGCCTTAATAGTAGGCTTAATGTTAAGGGCTTAAATTATGTTGTATCTCTGTAAATTTAACACTAGGAAGTATTTCATTATTTCCATTTATTAAAAGAGAGAGGGGGAGAAACAGCCTCTAAGCCTAGGGGCAGCTATTATGTAAAACATTTGGAAGTCAAATCCAGTCTACTCCCCACTACTTCAAAAGACAGTTGAAATATTTAAATAACCTGCTAGTGAAGCAGATGAGGAAATACTAAATTGCTGCAAACATAGGGACTCTACAAAAACTGTTATTATGTAAAATAAAAAAAAGAGAGAAAATGGACTTTAGATAAGAATAATGAGATCTGCGTAGTAAAACTTACTATTCGTATCTAGATGTAATGAATATCAATATTTCAGGCATAGTTGAATTTTATATAAATCTTTTTATAGTCATAGTACAAACGTTCAGAGAAATCTGTAGTTATTTTAATGTTATTGAAAACTAACTGAAGCATAAATAGTTGATTTAGTCTGTTGTGAGCCATTTGAGAAGAAGTGGATTAGCTGCATTTCTAACCAGTTATGTCAAAAATAGAGACTAAGATGTCCAAAAAGTTGATATGGCAGAAAAATGGATCTATTATTCTATCTAGATGCAATCTAAGAATGATGGGAATACTGAACGTATTCAGTTCCCAAACTGTGACTTCGTCATAACTTTTCTGAGCTTCATCTATAAAATGGAAGGGTAAGGCAAGCCTGTATTTAATATCCATTTCAGGAGGAAGAACTCCTGATTTTGTAATTGTATAATCCACTTTCAAAAACTTCTCAAAATCACTTTCTTTGCATTTTCTCATATTGTACAAAATATATACGTGATTTGCCATTTCTACTTCAAGAAGAAATAGTGTAAGTGCTGCCGCAGCAAGCGCAGCTTCAAGCAGAAATAAATTCATGTTCTCGTTTTGTAGTAATAAATGTGTTGCTGTTTTAGAAATTCAAGCTGTAAAATTGAAGAAAGGAAATGCCATAAAAGAACTTGAAATCTTCTGGAAGTACTTGGACCCAATCCTGAATAATGAGAAACCTGAGACAAATCTCTTTGATGTTGCTCTGCTTGAATACATGGTCAAAGTTGGGGACTTCCCTTCAGACTGGGCAGACATGGACATGATGGTCAGTATGTAATTTAAGAGTCAATGAATGGTTCCGCCATGGGACACCTGGTTTAACTCACTCTTTTTTAAAAAATTATTATTAATTTTTATTAGTTTTAATGAACATTTACAGAGATTCTGGGTTTTCATTCATTCATTGTTACACTGTTTTCTCTACCCTCCTCCCCAGTTCGTTCTTCTTCCCCCACCCCCATGTCTGTTTTAATTGTCCAATTGCCACAGTGCTTGTCAAAGCCAGTCTGATTCATTTCCTTTGTCAGTGTGCCCTTTGTCATTCTCTATCACTCCTCTCTGAGAGAGACTTCACCCTGATTCATAAGGAAAATGGGATGGCATATTCTCTTAGCTACTTCCTGCTGAAAAGGGATGCTGTGGGTTTCAGGGTTGAAGATCTTCTCTCACTACTCAAAAGGGCCCCTCTGGCAGTAGGAAACACATAGACTATTATGGAGATTGATTTTGGAATTTAGATGCACTGTTAGCAATTGTGCTTAGCCGTACATGTTCATATCCTTGAAGATGTATCATGGAATTGTTGCAGCCTAGAAGACACAAATTTAACTAACAAGGTTTAACTCTTCATTCATGCCACAGTTAATGAGCACAGTTACTTAATGAGCAGTTACTTAACAGCTTCATTCTTAGCTGTGATGGTATGAATTAGTGGCAAAGAATATTTTTAAAATAAAGACGAATCTTTGGTAGTGTGTTCTTTTAAAGGACTGTCTGTCCATGTATCTATATCTGTCTATCATCTATCTATCTATACAAAAGGAGCTCTAGTGGCCTAGAGGTAAGAACTACACTACCACTCTAAAGACTTGTGGTTCGAGTCTACTAGCTGCTCTGTAGGAGAAAGATGGGCATTCTGATTCTATGTGACTTACAGCCTCTGAGAACCTGCTGGAGGACCAACTTTGAATTAGTCTTAACTCAGCAAAATATAACAACTTGTAGTTGTTGTCTTTGTTGTTGTTGTCATGTAACATCGAGTCAGAATGGACTCATAGCTGACCACCCCACCCCCACCCCCAGTGGATTTTCAGAGACAATCACACAAGAGGAGGTTTCCCATCCTTCCCTGGTGGAGCAGCTGGTGGGCTCGAGCTGCATGCTTAGTGATGAAATATACAACAGCAACTCAGAAGATAATAGAGGAAACTTAAGGGCCATTGAGTTTATATTAATGGTAGATGAATGAGTAATTCAAAAAGAATGAGAACTGTTGCACACTTGAAGAATAAGATCTCCTCCCATGTGATTAACTACTTCTAAAAACTCACTGGAGGGTGACCTATTGGTCAGTTCCAACTCAATGGTACTCAATAATATGTATATTCTATCTCTCTCTTCTCTCTCTCTCTCTCTCTCTCACACACACACGTATTGTTGATATGTGCTGTCGAGTTGCCTGCAACTCATAGCAACTCTGTGTACAACAGCCCTAAACTCTGTTTTATTCTGTGCCAATCTTACTGTCTCTGACACATTGACCACCATTACCCCAGTCACTGAATCAATCCACCTCATCAATGGTCTTCCTCTATTGTACTGTCCCTCCACCCTCCCAAGCAAGATGCCCCTCTTCAAGGACTTGTCCCTCCTTGCAACATGTCCAAAATATGTCAGACAAAGCTTCAGAATCCTTATCTCCAAGGAAGAGCCTGGTCAATAATATTGGTCAATTATTGCTGCACTCCATCGGGTCACCTTTCTTTGGAATGGGAACAGAGATAGATCTCTTCCAGTCAGTTGGTCAGGTGGTTGTCCTCCATATTTCTTGGCACAACTTAGTGAGTACATCCAGGCCAGTGCCTGTTTGTTGAAATATGTCAATTGGCATGCTGTCAATTCCAGGGGCCTTATTTTTTGCCACTTTTTCAGAGCAGCTTGAACTTCTTTCTTCATCTCTACAGGGTCTTGCTCATATGCTGTTTCGTGAAATTCTTCTGTGTCCACCAATCCCTTTTGGTACAATTACTCCTGTAATACTCTTTCCACCTTCTTTTAATACTTCCTGGATCATTTAATATTCTGCCAAAAGCATCATTAAGTATTGCAACTCACGGTTTAAATTTGTTCTTCAGTTCCTTCAGTTTAAGAAATGCTGAATGAGATCAACCCCTTTGATTTTCTGACTCTAGCTTTTTGCACACTTCATTATAATATTTTACTTTGTCTTCACACTCTGCCCTTTTACGTTTTTCTGTTCATCTCCTTATTTTCTTAATTTCTTCCCTTTGCTTTGGCTGCTTGGTGCTGTAGTGCAATATTCAGTCTCTTCTGACATCCATCTTGATATTTTCTTCCTCCTTTGTCTTTGCAATGACCTTTTGCATTTTTCCTGGATGATATTCTTGAAAGCCTCCCACAGCTCATCTGGTCTTCATCTGTTCCTGAGATGGTTTTGAAATTCCAGTGGGATAGACTCAAGGTCAAATTTTGATTCACTTATATTTAATTATTCTTAGCTTCAGCTTGAATTCGCATATGAGTGGTTGGTGGTCTGTTCCAAATCAGCACCTGGACTAGTTTCCACAGCTGATATTGAGTTTCTCTAGTGATTCTTTCTACATTATAATTGATCTGATTCCTTTGCATACCATCAGGTGAAATCCATGTGAATAGTCTGCATTTATGTATCTTATAAAATGTGTTTGCAATGAATAAAGCATTGATTGTACAAAATTTTGTATCTCCAGCATTTCTGTTACTAAGTCCATGTTTTCCAACTACTTATCCTTCTTTGTTCCTAACTTTTGCATTCCAGTAATCCATTATTATTAATGCATCTTGATATCATGTTTGATCAATCTCTGACTGAAAAAGTTGGTAGAAATCTTCTATTTCCTCCTCTTTGGCTCTGTTTGTTCACACACACACACACACACACACACACACACACACACACACACACACACA